TCGTCCCTAGCCCAGCTCACAGCACTCACCTGCTTCCCGCCAGTGTCCCAGTCACTCATCCTCAAGCCACTCCTTTCTTTCTAAAAAAAAAAAAACCTGAGTTTGGCCCTGGGTCGAGGCCTTTGTTCCAGATAGCCAGCATCATGGCTGGGCTTAGGACCCCTTGGCTCCCCATACCTACAAATACGTCCCAGTGTCTTTATTCTCATTGTGGGTTCCAGTGGGTGTGGTAGATTGGAATTACCTTGACAAGATTCCAACAATTTATCCATGGGGTTGCAAATATAAACTTCTCAGACTGGGATGAGGTCCAAGAAGGGCTCTCTATAAAAAGGTCCTAAAGGTTATAAACTTTCCATTGCTATGTCTGAATGCAGTCGGTTTCCTCAGGAACACAGCAGCAATCTGTCTTTCAGAGCACCACATCTTTTCCCAAATAAGGACGTGTCCAGTGACCACAGCCTCCTTCACTGTGCCTTAGAGACAAACCATATGACTTCTAGTACTGAACTAGTCTGCTCTTCCTTAATCACTGCATCAGATACCTGAGATATTCAGTGTACAAAGAGCGAAGGCTTACATGGCTCACGGTTTTGGAGGCCTTGATTCACGGTCACCCAGCCCCTTTGCCTCAGGCCTGTTGTGGAACAAGCAGTGTACCATGGCTGGAACACATGGTGATGGAGGAATATATTTTCTTTGAGTATGGCAGCCAGGAAGCAAAGAGAGAGAAACAGAAAGGTTAGGGCCCCACAATGCCTTTAAATGGCACTGCCCTTGAGGACATAACTTTCACCCCACCTCTTGGAGGATACACCTCCTCCTGAAAACACCAAGCTGCAGACCAATCATTGAATACTAGGCCTTTGGGGAATGACCAACATCTAAACTGTAGCAAATTGTAACGGCACCAGAAGTGTTACACAGGAGGAAATAGTAGCAGGATGAAAATAAGTGATTTGTATGTGTGCAGGTGTATGTGCATGTGTGGGTGCATGTGTGGTGCTGGGGATCAAACCCAGAGCCTTGTGCATGTGAGGCAAGAGCTCTACCACAGAGCCTCATTCCCAGCCCAGGAAGTGAGGTGGTAATCAGGAAAGGATGGATAAAGGATGTCAACAAACAACAAAGAATGGGATTCTTCAGCCATAGTAAAATTCGTTTTGCCTGTACCTTTCATAAATGTTTCCCCTCAAAATAGGTGAAGTAGGTTCATTAAAGATGAAAGAAACTAATAGTGTATTGACTGAGCTTTACTTAGACCATGAAATACTAAAATGATGTCCATTTGTAAGGTCAGAATAATAAGGGTTCTGATTGTACTTAAAATTATGTGGTTAAGGGCCAGTGAGATAGCTCAGTGGACTAAGCGCCTGCTTAGGCAAGCACAGGGACCAGAGTTCGATCCCCAGCAACACATGCTGCATCAGCCCTGCCCCCAGGGTGCACTGAGCCGGTCACTGAGACCAGGTAATGGTGCATGCTTATAATCCCAGTACTCGGGAGGATGAAAACAGGAGGATCACTACGAGTCCGAACTGCGTAGTGAGACCCTGTACCAAATACATAGAATAAAATATTTTTTTAAAATGTGGTCAATGCATTCCTCATTGAGACTCTCTTTTCTCTTGTTTATTTTTGTCTTTGTTCATTCTTCAGGCAGAGCCTCACTGTGTAGCCAGGATGTGTAACTCGTCATGTAGCCAGGATGACTTCAAATGCAGCAGCCCCCTGCTTCCGTTGTTCAAGCGCTGAGATTACCAGGATGTGCCATCACACCCAACTTCCTTCTTCTCTCATAATTTTATATAAAAATTGAGAGCATGCTTCAGGGTACCTGAGATTTTTGTAGCTGCTTCTTAGTCTGCCTTTAATTTGTTGGGAGTTTCTCACCAACGTGACAGACAGATGCACAGTGTGAGAAACACACATGTTTTCATGCAACTTTCTTCCAGGTTATCTCATTCATCGTCATTTGCTTTCTCACAGATTGTTTTCTCAATTACACATAAGGTGAGTTGACTGGAAAAAGCAAGGCTTTCTTTGTAGCAGCATCCTAAGGTGGGAACACTGTCCTTGGTCCTGGAATATTAAAGTGTTGTAAAATCTTCCCTACACACACATAGGATTAAGAGTCAGCCACCAAAACGATACTAAGACAACTCCAGAAATTGAAGTGAATTTAAAACATGGTTGTGTCTTTTAGTTTACACTAATTCCCAGACCTGTATCCGCCTGAGAAGACAGTTCTCCAGGTGGTTACCAGAAGGGAGGAAAGAAGAAAACTATGAATGGGATAAAGCCAAAGGACAAATTGGACCAACTGTGGCTCCATAATTGCGGTTCCTGGACCCTTGCTATGGCTCGTGTCATGTGGTCTTCACTGGGGCTTTTCAGAGATGGCTGGATCTAGAATGTGTGGTGCTGGGATTAAGGGTGTGTGGTTTCTAAATTCACCCACTCATTGGTTTGGCATAGTTCTGGGTGCAGATAACGGGGAGGTCCACATTGGGCATGAGTGCTACACACCCTAACAGTGTGTAGCTAGCCCAGAATAAAGAGGCAGAAAGAGGCTGCTGCTGTCTCTTGTTGCTTGCTGTTGGCTATTTCACAGGCCTTCTGCCTGCCCCACTTTGCCATGGAGTGTTTCTCTCCTGCCATGTCCCTCTGCCATGTGCCACCCTGCTTTGGAGCCAGCTGACAATGGACTGAAATCTTTACAAACCCTGAGTTTCAATAAGCCTCTCCACATTTAGTGCTAGGTGTTGGGTGTTTCATCCCACCAACAAAAAAAAACTAAAACAAAACTTCAAGCTCAATCCACCAGTGACTGGGAGAAGGCCTAAGGCTGAGAAATGGGGGGAAAAAAGGACTGCTTCATCTATAACAGAGTTTTTTTTTTTATTGGACCTGAAATAGCACAAAATACTAAGCACGCTCAACAACAAAAACAGTGGAAAAGTTAACTACTAGTTTTTATAGTTGAATGGCTTAAGAAACAGAGATTAGAAATCAGAAAAAAATATATATTAAAATCATCTTTGGATCTCAGTGGTGCCCACTTCCCAAATGTGGGTCAAAACTAGAATTCTTCCTTCAACAATCACTTACTGGATATCAACCCCCAGGTAAGATGCAAAAGGTTCCAGAGATCATTGTTCCCATCCTCAAGGTAAAAACCCAGAAAGAGATGAGCCCTTCCTAGAAGAGCAGGCCTCGCGCTGGGAGCACAGCAGAAAGGCAAGGAGTCGCTTCTTTGCAGTGTTGGAAAGGAACCCAGGGTATTGTATCTGCTTAGCAAGGGCCCTACCACTGAGTTATGGCCCCCAGGCCAGCATCTCATTTTTCCATGGTTTTAGTGGCTACTTGGAGACTGCAGTGACATTAAGAATGACAAGACAAGCCAACATTTTGGCCCTAGGCTTCCAAGGTCAATTAAGACTCAGGACATATGAGAACTTGTACTGTAACGTCAAGTAACTCAGTAGTGTCCCAAATTTTCTGATCAAGGAGATTATGGGGCCAAAGAGGAAAGTGATCGATGATGTAGAGTGTGCCTAAGGAGAGTCACATGGAGAGAAAACATTCTCTCAGGCTTTCACAGAGAGCACATTGGCCAAGCAATGGCCGTGACTCATCCACATGGCTGACACTGACAAAGGTTCTACAATCTGAGGTACAGGATCTCAGGATAAATCCTGAGGGCATTTCACTGACCTTCTCAGACCAAAAAGCTACAACTTTTGTTGTTGCATAGGTCCTGCTTTACCTTGGTCTTAACCATCCAAAAGGAAAGTATAAAAATGAAATATAAGAAGTAAAGCCATGCTGTTATGTTGAGCTGTAGGGGACTCAGGTCAACAATTTCTGACATTGCCAGTGAAGTGGAAGATCCAATACTATTATGGGCTACTGAACTCTTTTAGAATATTTTGCTGAGTTTACACACCTATAATAATCAAATAACGGAACTTAACAAAAAAAAGGGGATACAGGAGCCGGGGAGAAGCCTCAGTAGAATAAGTGCTTGCCTGGCAAGCGCAAGGGTCTGAGTTCAATCCCCGGTTCCGCAAAAAAAAAAAAAAAAAGCGATACAGATGAATGTCCATTTTGTATCTGTATATTCAAAGTGGTTAGGATAGATATATAGTTAGATTCTCTTAATGAATAGAGGGATTTGTTCCAATGGTGTTTGTAAATAGGATATCAAGTCCACATCTTGTACAGCAATTAACCACTAGGAAGAATGTATGTAATGTGTTAATTATTGAAACTGCCCTACCAATTTATTTGAAACTGTCTCATTGCTATTTGTTTCTCAATAAAATTATGGGGGAAAAAAAAAGAATGACAAGACGCCAAGGCCTTGCAGGGAGTCAGTGCCCACCCTCCAAGTGCATCCTGCAAGGCTCCAGTGAATCTACCACTCCCCTTGCCAAAGGGCTCAGAGCAGGAAGGAGAAGGCCTGTGCCCTCAGGAAGGCATGGGTGGTACGGGACACATCCAGATCCATGCCGACCTGCGTGGCCTGCGCATGACCCTCCTCCTGTTGTGCCTCTCATCCCCTTCATGGTGCCTCTCTCTCTAGTGTAATTACATTTCTGAACAGGTGGGTTTGCTCAAACTGAAGTTGATGTTTTTAAGATTTTTTAAGTAAAGACCACTCATCGCTTGAAGTCTTCTGAGGAAATGATTCCCACTTTATTTTATCCTTGTAGTACCAGTGTCCTAGCTTTCTTTGATTAACCAAGCAATTATTCTGCCTGAGTGCTACCTATATCCAAGCACAAAGGTCCTTTCTATGTGCCAAGCTTTCTATTAGCTATTGTTAAAATTGAGAATTTAACAAAATATGTATAAGGACGCATGCACGTGCGTACGTGTGCACACACACACCCCTGAACTCCATATCCATCTGGTCTACATCCAAGGCTTCGACCAACCTCAGATTCAAAATTGTTTAGAAAGAGCTGGATTCAGTACTAAACACTTACAACCCCAAATTCTCAGGAGGCTGAGGCAAGAGAATCCCAACTAAAGAAACTCTGTTGCAAAAGTTTTGATAGTGAAAAGGGCGGGGCATGTAGCTCGTTGGCAGAGCTCTCGTGGGGTGAGGCCCTGGTCTCACCTCCAGTACTACAAAAAATAAGAAATGAAAATTTTCAATTTTACTTTTCAATTTTGGAAAGAAGCTCTTCCATCTAGGGATGCAGCTGAGTGGAGGATCCTGTGCCGAGCACACAGAGGGCCCCAGGGCTCACTGGCACCTCACTGGCAAAAAGAAGAAATTACTGCTTTTAAGCTATGCTATTGATGTCAGCGTTGGTGGTGTTCCCACGGTGCCTGGCACTTAGCAGGCACTCTTAAATATTTGCAGAAATGAATCTCAGCCAACAGAGCAGCCCAGAGTCGTGGACGCCCTCCAGCCACCAGAGGGCGGCATCAGCCCGGCTACCGCCAACGCCTTGAGGCTCCTACCAAGCACAATCGCAGCTGCTTCCCTGCGAAGGCGATTTTTCCTTGCGCAGTGACACCCACAGGAACGGACTCCTCCCAGTCACGTGGAATTCAATTTGAAGAATTATTGGGCTGCCCTTCCCCTTTGGCAAAGAAAGGGGAACCAATGTCACTGTTGCCTCCGCCTGCCCAAACAAAGGGACCCAGGCTGAATGTCATGAATTTTTCTTCACTGGGGTCACCTTGAACCAACGGCTCCTACATATTGCCCTCGACTGGAAAACACCACCAAATCCACATATTTTTCCTAATGTTCTCTAAAGGGGACTGAGTGGCATACACATCACGCAAGCTGACATCTTCAAAATCCTCCATGCCTGTTTTGATCCCTAAAAATCTCACATTTCTAGAATTTGCCCTAATCCGTCCCTTGTCCAAACTCAGGTGCACACCTAGACATGAAACTGTGGCCCTAAGCCCCAAGTCCTTGACCCTAACACAAAAATTAAAGGCACCCAGTTAAATAGGAAAGTTATTTTTAAAATTCATAATTCATTTGTTTAAGTTCAGGCTATAAGGTGCGTAGTCATAATCCAACCAGATTCCATGATTAGCTCAGATGGTCACGACTCAAGCTGGTCCAGTGAGAAACGTAATATTTCCAATATAGCAATAGTAAAGAAAAGTATGGTTTATGTGAAATTCATGTTTGAATATCCTGAATTTTAGCTAGCAATCCTACTACTGCTATAGCTTTGTGTTTGTCGGCTTGTCATAACTATGACCAAGAACCTGACTTGTCCAATTTAAAAGAAGAAAGGTTTATGTTGGCTCATGGTGTCTGAGGATTCAGTCCATGGAAGACACATCATAGCAGAAGAGCACGGGAGAAGACAGCTGCTTAACCTGTGCAATCAAGAGGCAGAGTGAGCTGCCAAGAGCCAGACAGGAGGGTGCTGGGGACCGGATATGCCCCACAAGGTTACATTCCTATGATTCCCTGCCTTCAGGTAAACCCCACCTCTGGATACCCCATTCATCTGGAACTCACCAATTGATTGATGAGAGGTGACTTATATTCCTGTCACCTCTGGAGACCCCACCTCTGGGTTTGGGGTGGTGGCAGTGTAGATCAAGCTCTCAAAAATACAAGCCTTCAGGGAACAATTTATACTTACACCATGGAAAATGTGATAAAACACATGAACAAACTGTACAGATCTTCCTCTAGGTAACACTGTATCTATCACACACTAGAAAATCTGTTAGGTATTCTTAGTATAACAAAAGTTTCTAAAAAATAAAGAAAAAATTAAAATGCTATTCATCACATAGATCGATATGTGTCTAAATATAAACATATACATTATGTATACATAAATAAATATACATAAACAAGTGTCCATTTTTGAGTCCTGCATAAGGAGCCACTTGATTTACAGGTTTCCTAATGCCATTCACCCAACAAGTTCTGTGTGGGTGATTTTGCCTGAGAGGATTTCCTTCACTAATAGGACCTTGAGACTGAAAAAAACGTACATGTATCCACATACAGCATGTCCCTTCTGGTTGTCCTACCCACCAACCTGGGTGCCCCCACACCCACGCTTCTGATAAGGTAGTAGGAAATAAAAACCTACAGCATTTAGTGTTTTGAGGTTTGCCACAAATGCAACATGTCTTTCCTCTTTTTATGTTTTGCTTGATTTTTCTCTTGTTGCTGGGACAAAATACCCAACACCCAAAATTAAGGAAGGGAAAGTTTATGTAGCTCAGCTTATGGAGGTTTCAGTCCATACTCAGTGGGCTCCAAGGTAGACTGGCACGTGGCAGAGGGCAGCAGTTCATGGTGGTGGAAAACAGCACAGCAGCAAGAGTAAAAGGGAGGAGCAGTGGCAACAATGGCAACAGGGGGCAAGTCTGTCTCCCTTACGCTGCATCCAGGCTGTGTGTAGGATGAATGAATCACAAACTCTAGAAGTCCGCCCCACAACTGCATGAGGCTTTGGCTGCAGGAGGCGTTGGGGGATGGGCAATTAGACACAAAGCATAGATAGATATAGATACAGACATAGACATAGATGACATGCCATCTATAAGGATTCAAACACATAGGACTACTAAGTAAACAAGTTAACGGTCTTTCTTAAACCCCTCACTTCCATGCATATCTTTCATACACTGAAGTGTATATTGTTTAGTACTCATCTTTTCACACCATTCTTAGAAATACTCATGAGAGATTTGGAGGGTGGTTAGGGGCTGGGCTAGGATTCAAACTCAGGACCTCAAACCTACCAGGCAGGTACTATGCCGCTGAGCTATCTCCCCAGCATGAGAGATTTTCCTTCTCAAAAAGACTTTATACACCTTGCTTTCCTCCACCCCCACCCTGGATGTGTCTCTATCTATCTACGTCCCTACCTCTCCATGTCTATAAATCTCTCCATCCGTCCATCCATAATTTACTGAAAGAGAGAACACATGTGACAGACCTCTCTCCCGGTCAGTACTCAGAGCTCTAACTCACCCTTCAGGCTGAGTTACAGCTGTAATATGCCACATCACAGTCGACTCCGCTTACTCCTCCGAATGCAAAGCCCTGCACAGGGGCTTTCACTCAAACTGGTTTATTGCAGTCCAGCGTCCAAATCTAAGGAGAGCACTGTGCACAGGCAGCAGGCAGCCGCAGTGCTGCTCCATCTTGCCTGCAGGCTCAAGGCCCCATCTGCGCTGAGCAGGTGGGAGCTGCCCTTCAGCGCGGGGTGGTCGGGATGCACGTGGCTGAGGCAAGTTAAGATGCCACAGTGAGACCTAATGTTTTGTACAATTAGAGTGCAATAAATAGAAGAGAAAAACAATGTACTGTCAGCAGTCCAGGAGGCCAGCTGGAGGAAGATGCCTCGCTGGACCTCCTTCAGGGGTGGCTGAGCCCCCTCTGCCTCCTCCTGACTCCCTCCCCACGTTCCTTCCTTCCTGACTTTCAATTATTTTCAACTTTTTATATGGGAGGATTTCCTGAGAGGTTTACATAATCAGAATGGTTTTGCCACGTAATGAAAGGACAAAACATCAAGGCCAAGAAACTGTACGTTCCTTTAGGAAGACTCCAGCACCTTTTGCCCTAGATCCCAACATTTTCCAAATCAGGGTCCCTTTTTGTCACATGAGGACTCCTTATGCCGCTTATAATGGAAAGCCAGGCTCCTGCTCTTGATAACAGCTCCCCAGTTCTCTTTTGGAGAACTTTTCAAAGAAGGGTCTCTCAGCCCACATGTCAGGGAGGCCAGGACCTTACCTGACACTATGAGCACCTGACCATAATCTGGCCTATCAGAGTCCATGATTAGCTCAGACGAAGTCACGTGGCCCAAGCTGAGCCAATGGGCAACAGGCTCATCCTCTCCGCTTGGGACACATTTTGTGCCACCACTGGACAATCCTGACTTTAAAGGAGAGAAGAAGGAAAAACAAAGTGGAAAATGGAAAGGATTCCTGGTGATGTGAGGGTTCTTAAACCTACCTTGACTGAACCATCCACTTAGCTTTGCAATCATATAAAGCAAAGATTTTTCTTGGAGACAAAGCCAACTTGAGTTGGGTTTCTACCTACTGAAAATAAAGAGGACATTAGTGATAGGGCACAGTCTGTATTTCAAGTAGTTGAGAAAATAGATCCGATCTCCACATCCCACTTCAACACATACACAGAGCTATTAAGAGCTTACTCATCCTCACAAGATAGCCACACAGTAATCCCCCTTTTCTGTACTTTTAGTTACATGTGGTGAACTGTGGTTCAAAAATATTACATGGAAAATTCCTGAAATTTCAAAACTTTTAAGTTACTTCTATTACAGTTTATTTTTAGTTGCTCTGTTTTATTGGTAGTCTTTTTCTTCCCCCAGGCTCAGCCCACCCTGAGGGCAGCAGGACTGGTGCAGCATGTGGTGCCAGGGATAGAACCGTAGTCCCCTGCACCTGCCTAAGCTTGCCTAAGAAGGCACGTTAGACTGCTGAGCTATCTCGCCAGACCCATATTTTATTGGTAGTCTTTATTATTACCATTAGCTAACCTCTTCTATGCTTAACATATAAATTAAACTTTATCATGGGTATAAATGTACAGGGAAAAATAATATAGTTATGTGCCCTATAAAGACGTTTTAGTCCTGGGGCTGGGGAGATAGCTCAGTGGTCTAAGCGCCTGCCTGGCAAGCACAAGATCTGGAATTCAGTCCCCAGTACCACATGCTGTGCCAACCCAGAGCACTGGGCATGCTGTGCTGGCTGCCAAAACCAGACAAGGTGCCACCCGTCTATAATCCCAGCACTGGGGAGGCTGAGACAGGAGGATCATTATGAGTCTGAGCTGAGTAGAGAGAGCCTGTATCAAAAATAATAATTAAAAGGCATTTCAGGCCCATAGATTGCATCCTGAGTGCCAGCCTGGCCCCCTCGGCTTGGGCACACATGCTGTGGCGGTCCCACAATGACAAGGTTGCTTCTCAATCCACTTCTCAGATCTCTTCTGGTTCCTAAGTGACACACGACTGTATATACAGGGTGGGGATACCGGCGACTTCTGTATCCACCTGAATAACTGCAATATTTGTGTTCTCAAACCTCGAGCAATAGCTCTGGTGCCCCTGAGGATTCAAGACCCACAGGTAAGAATCAAATACTCCATCAGTGAGTCAGGGTATCTAGAAATGCCAGAAAGATACCCACGCCTGGGAGTAGCCTGAGCCAAAGAAGGATGGAACAGGGGGAGGGCAACTCTCCCATTCTCCTCCCCTTGGGTGGGAGCGCTGAGGCTTGGGAGCAGCCCTGTCCCCAGCGTGCCCATGGGACTGAGGCTCGGTTTCCTATGATGCTCAGTAACATGCACTTCCTGTTGTCGCTATTGTTCTAGTGCTGGGAATTGGACCCACGGCCTTCCCAGTGAGCTACACGACCATACCTTTTCAGGTTTTCTTTTGAGACAGGGTCTCACTAAGTGGCTTAGTTGCCCAGGTGGGGCTCAAATGCACAGTCCTCCTGCCCGAGGCTCCCAGAGTGCCAGATCCCAGGTGTGCGCTCCTGTACCCAGCAGTGACACCCTTGCCACTGGTTTGTTTCCTTTCTCTTCACCCATTCCTCTTCTTCTGTGCCTGGTCACCTCTAGACAAACCACTTCCAGGGAAATCCTTGATTTGATGTCTGTTCCCAGGTACCCAAACCAGGACACCCCACCCCAACTCAGGGCGGCACCCACCATCCCCTACAAGCACCATGCAGGTGACTCCACGTGCTCACTGAGTGGTGCTCGCTGACAAGCAGCCTGGCGGGGTGAACCTGTGACTCAGTACAAAGCAGACAAGCTGGACGCTGGGCCCCTGCCCCTCATCCTCTAAGCACTGTGGACTTTTCAAGTCTTCTAATTATTGTGTCCCTTAGGCATCAGCAGGCTGGGTCTCTAGATATTTTATTGTTTCCTGCCAATTCTGCAAAGCCTCTGTTGGATAACTGCACCTATATTTCTATGGAACAGTTTTTCTTTGCATTTTTTTAGAAGTTCTTTTTTGCAGTAGGGTCTTACTAAATTGCTAGGCATGGATGAAATTCACAGTCCTCCTGTCTCAGCCTCTCAGAGTTCTGCAATCACAGGGGTGCATCACCAATGCCCAGACTGTTGCTTTCTTTCTTTCTCTCCTTTCTTTTCCTTGTCTTTTCTTTTTTTTTTTCTTTCTTTTTTCTAAGAGGCTTTCTCTGTGTTATTGAAGCTGGCCCTGAGCTCCTGGGGGTTGAACCTCCTGCTTCAACCTCCAGTAGTTGAGTAGCTGAGGGTACATTCATACATGGGACCACACCTTACTCTGTTCCCCTCTAGTCTTCTCTTTCCTGGT